GCCAACACAAGCCCTCACTCCTTCACAATTCCTCATCGCACTTTTGCAGGCCATCACCGCACCACCACACTCCCCTCTCTACCTCCTGACGCCATACCTCGCTGCTGCCCATATCTCTCGCCTCACACCTCAATACATAGCCACCAACACACCAACAAACAATAGCCTCACCAACTGCCATTCAAGCGAATAGCGAAGCACAGTGGCGGACCCAGGAATTTCTGACCGGTGAGTCACAAACTCACAATCGATAACCAAATATGTAAAAAAAAAATTTTTTACCAAAATTCCCAAAAAAAATTATTTACAAAAATCATCCAAATAGAAAATTGACAAGATTACAATACTAACTAACATTTAACAAGCTTAAAATTGACAAGACTAAAATTAACAAACTAATAATTTTTTTTTTTTTTTTTTTAAAAAAAAAAAGACTTAGAAATTTGGGCCTTGGTGAGTCATTTGACCCACCAGGCACAAGGCCAAGTCCGCCCCTGGCGAAGCAACAAAATCCACCGACATTAGTTCTAGAGATTCAGCCCACAAAATTAGCAACAAATAATTATGTTGGTGTGTTGGTGGGAAATTAATTAACCCAGCCACACGTCAATGACCCAAAATGCTTATTGTCAAATTGAAGATGGGGAAGGGGAAGGGAAAGGGGAAAAAACGCAAGGGAAGGAGAAATTAAGGGATATAAGGATGAAGTTGGTATGTCGGGCACCGAATTGGCTTGGGGAAAAAGAAAAAAAAAGGTGAGGATTTGGTTAATTTAAAATCATGTGACCGGTCGAGGATGCTCAACTTCGGAGAAATTAGTCAATGACGAAAACCCGGCGAAATATAGTTTCTTACAACATTTTTTATTTTAATAGGTAGTTTCTTACAATATTTTTTTTTAATATGTAGTTTCTCACAAATTGCTTTTAACATGTACAAAATGTCATTTTAATTATTCCATGAGGTAATTTTATTATTACTCTTTCATGACTTGAAGTATGATTGAGTAAAGGGATTGATTAAAGTCATACACGTTGAGGTTAGTTGACTTTGTTCAGCAGGGGATTTGTCCTTTTAAATAAGGAATTATTGAGTTAAATGAATGTTTGATGATCACTCTTGAATAACTAAGATAAAATTGGATTGGTTGTGGACTGTTCGTGTATTGTGATGTTTGTTTGATGAGTTGGAATTATTTAAACATGTAAATCACGTAAAGTGAAAGATGGATAAGCAATAAAACTTTGGATTGTGCACGTTTAGAGTATTGTCAAACATGGGTTATGGTTTCATGGGGTATTATACGTGGCCTTTCTAGAGGCCAATCTACGAGTTTCTTTTATTTACAAGGTTTTCAAACTAAATTGGGGTTAGCTGAGATTTCATCGATCTAGCTATGGTGACGGAGTCGCGCCCGTTTACCATCTGGATTATTATTGTTTTGATGCTTTTTGACGATGAAGCATGGGGATTTTATCTATTATTTTATGATGTTCTTTAATAGGGGTGTTTGCGGTGCGGTTTGCATTTTTTACAAACCGCACTTATAACCAAACCGCACTGCAAAATGCGGTTTGGAGCGGTGCGTTTGCAGTTTAGCCACATTTTCTTAAAAATTATAAATATTTTTTTTTAAAAAAAAAAGACTTTTTATTTTATTGTGTGATTATTAATTTATAATTTAAATATTAAACTTTTTTAACTTTTAATTAGCTAACAGTAATAAATTACATCATATTTTAAAGCTATTTTATATATTTTTTAACAGATATAGTATAAAATTGGTGTAACGGTTTGCGGTTTTACGGTCTAAACCGCATCAAAGTGCGGTTTGGTCTAAAATATTTTGGAAACCGCACCAAACCGCAAAAGTGCAGTTTAGTTATTTTCATAAACACCGCACCGCAATTTTCAAACTGCACCAAACCGCAAAATTGAGGTTCGGTTTGCGGTTTGGTGCGATCTAGAGCGCACTCTGAATAGCCCTATTCCTTAATAGGAACATGGGGGAGACAACCTTGTCTATTGCTTAATCTAAGAAAATTATTAAATGAATCAAGAGTCGAGTTGAAACATTTGAGTCTTGTGTTAATATTGAAAGTTTATGCCTACTAGTTGAATAAGAAATAAGTTGTTTAAATATGTGATTAGTAGCATGTTAGGATCTTTATATTTATTTATTTTTCGTAGTTTGTATTTACTCAACTTTGCTGATTACGTGCTTTGTGTGTGTACTTCTTTGGTCATAGCCTTCGCCTTTCAATGATGACCCTGTAACGATCCAATTTTTACACTTGTAATATTGGGGAGCAGACTTTTCATTGGTATTGCATGATTGAGGACATCATTGATATAACGGGATTGAGTGGAGAGTTGACTCACCTTTGTAGTAGTTTATTTTTCATGAACAAACAATACTTTACTAAACTTTCTTTGGTTTGAATTGGTTTAAATAAACAGTATTTAGGTTTTGAATAAGGGCCTTGAATGGTTCCAGCTTGTAAAACTTATTTTGGTTTGTTTGGTTTGAAGTTTACTTGAAACGATTTGGTTTTCCGCTGCAAATTCTAATACAAGCCTTAACGTTTGAACACGTGACGGTAATATGTCGACAATTCTCTTATATTTTAATTATAAGTATTTTTTAGGTAAAAGAGAGAATTATTCGGGGTGTTACAGCCTTGCTTATGGCTAAATATATATAAAGCCACGTAAAACAGTTCATCAATGTATTCACCACTTCTCCAATCAAAATTTCTCATATTTCTTAACACACACACCCGACAAAAATTGTGTCAGAAGGACATCCAAGTCGATAATAATAAGAGGAAGCCCAGGTTATGGGATAAACAAAAATTGTTTATCACACGACATCTCGGTAAATAGATCACAATTTTATCTAGTTAATAACACCGAGGGACCTGCTTTTTAGGAAAAAGTTTTTGAGTTATTTACAAAATGTCATGTGATAAACAATAATTATATCTTAGAGGTGAACTTGTATTTTCTCTACTAAAATGGTGTGAACAAATATATACTACTACCAGGCTTTTGGTAAAGTTGTAGGCAAAGTCTAATTAAGTCACATACGGAGTTTTCCAGTAGAAAGGAAACTAATGTCTACTCTTTTTTATTTGTTTCTATTTGGTGGTTACTATGAGTCAAGAGTCATCCTAGAGTATCATACTACTATTAGTACTATACCCCTTATGAGTAAATGGAGCACAAAAAACAAAAACAAAAAAATAAAAAATAAAAAATAAAATAAAATAAAATAAATAGAGAATCAATTTGACAAAGCAAACATAATTGACAACTGAAAATCACAAATTCAATTGCAATTGACAAATCAAACACCCTGACGTCAAAAAAGTAAATAAATGACAAATGAAACACAATAAAAGTATGGGAAGTCCCTTTATCACTTTAGACTCATAGTTTGCGACGAAAATCAATCACCTACGGAGTTGTGTTTTTATTCCTTGTAAGTTTATCTAGCACCAAGTAATTAACTTTTATAATTCAAGTTCGATTAATCAACTCTAATACTTCCTAAATCATCTCTGTGATCATTTCAATAACTCATCAATGGATAATACAACTTAAAATTAGAAATAATATCAATAAACCAATGATTCTTGCTAAATAATTTATAAGACATCAAAATTAAGTAGCTCTACTTGATAGAAAATTTAAGTGTTTTACGATGATTAACGTGTTAGTGTTTAGTGGTGGAGGTAATTTATATCAAAAAGTTAAATTATTAACTTTAGAGTATTCGTTGGTATTATTTCTTATAGTTTTAGGGGGGAATATTTATCTCTATATGTAATAATTCCTTCGTTTTGTAATAATCATAACACTTTTCTTTTACACTCATTTCATAATAATTATAACACTTCCATTTTGATAAGTATCTACTTATGTTTTACTCATTTCTCTCTCTTACCAACCCCACTTGCACTATTTTTTTTTATTATTATTATTTCTCTCTCTCCTACTAATAGCTTAACATACCTCAACCAACTATACTTCATATTATTAAATTCTTCTTTTGGTCGCTACCTCATAATTTTCCTAAAACTATGTGCAACACCTAGTATTGCGATTATTATGAAATTGAGGGAGTATCCAATCAACAACTATTTCACCAAATACTTGCAACTGTTTGACTTTGATACTACAAGTTTATACAAATGGTACTAAAAAATTATACATTATACAAATGTCAAAGCGTGGTTCCTGGAGGCGTATGCACCGTGCTTAGTGCATATGTTTCATTAAAAAAAATTATAAAATAAAATTAAATTAAATTAAAAAAAGAAAAAAGCGAAATGAACATACTATAGAAATATAATGAACATATAATTACAGCGAAAAGAACATCCTATTAGAATTTAATGAACATATACTTAGAGTTAAAAGAACATGCTATTAAAATGTAATTAACATATACCTCGAGTGAAAAGAACATACTATTAAATAGTGTTCTTTATCTCCATTTTTTTGATTGTCGGTATAATGTACTTTTATTTGTGACATAATGTTAATTGTTTATTTTGAAATGTTTTTTTGAATTTTGTCTTTAGATTATGGTGGTTGAATAAAAATAATGTTCATTACATTATATTATCATGTTCTTTATTAATATTACGGATGTTCTTTAGATATATAAAAAGAACATAAAGCTGGATGTTCTTTATAAAACAGTTATATATTTTTTTTTTTCAAACAACTATATATTCATTACAAAACAATTATATGTTCATTCCGCCTTTTTTTATAAAAAAAATATATATATATTAAAAATCCGTATGCACCAATATGCCTGCAGGAAGAAAATTTCAGATATAATATGAACATATATTTCTATGTTTGGTATGTATGGATATTTAGGCCCTGTTTGTTGGTTATTATTTTTACTTATAAATAATTAAAGATATTATCAGTTAAAGTTTTGCGTTGACATACAAGTACAATAAAAACGTTCTACTTATTTACATATGGAGGGAGTAAGATATGTAAGCATCTTTCATTTTTTATTATCTCATTATTCATTCGGTTTAGGATAAGATTAAGAGGGATATTAACGTGAACAATATATGTATTATGTTTCGCACATATCACTCCATTAGTCAGGGAGTGAAGAATAGGTCAAGTAGTTAGAGTTTTCCTCCCAATTTCAGAAGATCATGAAATCAATTTTTATCCCCATCCTAATGGCTTTCAAAAAAAAAAAAAAAAAAATACACTCCTTTATTCATCACTCATCTATAAACTACTCCATATAATCCAACCAAAAGTTACTGGAGCGCACGTCTTGTACTTATGATTGAGCAACTAGTTAGTTTCGTCCTAGGACTGACTCCTACAAGTAAATCGATGACTTTACCCAACAACTTACCAAATTGCAATAACCAAGTAATTTCCTAAAACCCAAAAAACTCTCTTAAAATTAAAATTAAAAATCAGTTCTCACGACAGAGTCCATCTCCTAATTTCATAGTCAGCAACAACAACAACCAAGTTGGCTCCTTTTTTGTCTTTTTTTTAAATAACATTAAATTCTAAATTTCTATCTTTTTAACCAAAAAAAAAGAAAAAAAAAAAAAAAACCCCGCGTCAACTTGGGCGTCTGCCGTCTCTCGTCCCTTTGTGGACGCCCAATACCTCCCTTTCCCCCCACATTTACCCTTGACTCCTTTTTTCTACTTCCGAAACTTTCTTGAACCTTCCTCTTTCTTAGTGCTCATTAAAACTTCAAACTCCTATTTCTTCCTCTTCTTTATTTACAATCTCCATAACTTGCAATTTATTTGTTGGATTGAATATAATCCCAAAAGAAAATGGCGGATCATATTGGTAAGGATTATAATATCCCTCACGAACAGAAGGGATACGCCCTTAGCGGCAGGATCATGCTAAGCGCAATCGTGATTCTTTTCGCGGTCGTCGTAATAATGGTATGTCTTCACGTGTACGCCCGATGGTATATATTACGAGCGCGACGGCGTCAGATCCGTCGCGCTCGTCGTCGTACGCATCTCGTATTCTACATCGAGCCTGATAATCCTTCCGACATTGCTCCCGCCCAATCACAGGGGCTCGACGCGGCTGTGCTTAAATCATTGCCGACTTTCACGTTTGGTAAGGACAAGGTGGTTGAGCTTGAAGAAGGAGAAGTGCTGGAATGCGCTGTTTGTTTGTCAGAATTTGAGGAGAGAGAAAAAGGGCGTTTATTACCTAAATGTAAGCACTGTTTTCATGTTGAGTGTATTGACATGTGGTTCCATTCTCACTCCACGTGTCCACTTTGCCGCTCCCCCGTCGACGCTGCCGATATTCCACCACCACCGCCTACGGTGGAAGGCGAGGAGGTGGTTGTCGAGCTGAGTGAGCAGTCTCAGAGTGTTAATGTACCCGAATCGAGCAACAATTTAGGTCCGAGTCACGGTGAGTCCGATGTATTATCTACGGGATCGTCGTCGTTTGCCGGGAGGAGGAAAGGGTTGGATTTGGTGGAGGTGTCAATTGAGGTGCCGAGAAGGAGCCAGAGTTTTTGTTTTCAAGGGTCTAACTCGGACGAGCCGGGACTGAGTCGGTCGCCGGGTTCCGGGTTTAAATCGCCAACAAGTCGGATAATGTCATTGAAGAGGATATTGAGCAGGGATAAAAGGTCTCCGCTCCCCTCGCCTTCGGGTGCCGGGTCGAGTTGTTGCGAGTTTGATATCGAGTCGGGTCGAGTTGAATCATCGGGTCAGGCCTTAACGCCGACGTAATTGATTGGCAGTATACAAAATCCGTTTACGTCATTTTCCTGATTTTAAAAGATAATCATTTTTTTCAAGTGTGGGAAAAATTGGGGCGAGATTTTAGGGCATGTGACGTACACGCGACGGCGCATAATTATATTAGAAAAGTCGTTGGAATCATGAAAACATTCGGCGGAAGTTGTCAGAGAGTCGTGGTGTTCATACCTCGAGCTTTGGTCAATGAATGTGACCTTCTTGACACGTGGCCGAGACCCGTTTTTGTTGAGGATAGAACGGTCATTTCATAAATTTCATGGCATACTTTTGGAGACTACGGAGTATCAAATTTCAGTATTTGACAATGTAAATACGGCATAGTATGAAAAAAAATACAGTACTTGCAATATGTTTAATTTTTCATTTTTTTTTAGTGAATATTATTGTGTACATTTCTAGTCAACTTTGTTAGTAAAGGAAAAATATGGGTTAGTTTATATAAATATGGTAAATATACCTGACAAAATTGATACTCACTCTGTTTCATAATGTTAGTCTCATATACTCTATCTGTTTTTAAATACTTGCTCCACTTTTTATTTTCGGTCGTTTTTAAATACTTATTCCATTTCCTTATTTGGAAAGTTTTTGCAATAACTATTTTATTTCACTTAACTAGTGGACCCAACATAAATTATATTTTATTAATTTCATATTCTCCCTCCTCTAATTATCTCAACTACTTTTGCTTTTTACAATTTTTTATTTTTCCACCAACCCCACTATTTCCATATTTTATTATTTTCTCTAATTTCTCCTAAAACTCCGCGCATGCAGAAATGGAGCAAGTATTTAAAAACGGAGGGAATACTATTTTAGGCGTTTCAAAAAGATTTACCCATATTGAATATATATCATTTTTAACTTAGTTTTTGTTTCCTATTTATACATATTAAATTCTGATTTGTTAAATTGATTGATTGTTGATTGATGACATAACTTTAAGTGAGGAAATTCCACCCTTGAATTTAGGGGTGTACAAAAATTGGCCCGGACCTGAAACCGGACCTGAACCGACCTGAACTGGACCGGACCTGACCCGGACCTGTTGATTCAGGTCCGGTCCGGTTCTTAAAAATCCAGGTTCCCGGTCCCGGTCCGGACCCGGTCCAAACCCGGGGTTTTCAGGTCCGGACCTGAAACCCGGGAAAATCGTAATTAAAAAAATAAAAAAAAAAGAAGAAAACCAAACTCTGAAAAATTGAAACTGAGTTTTCGTGGACTTATTTGTATTTTCGGTGGACTCATTTGTATTTTTGGTGTTTGAGAATCGAGACTTTATAGACTTTATGTAGTTTTGTAATTGATAATTTTGGTTTGTATGTAATTATTAAATTATGCAACATGTCTAAAAATCACAAAACAGGTCCATATGCAGGTCCAACAGGTTTTGTATTAAAAAAAAAACGAAAAAGACACAAAACAGGTCCATTCAGGTCCAAACCCGGACCGGACCTGATTTTTCAGGTCTGGCCCGGAACCGGACCTGTTAATTCAGGTCCGGTCCCCGGTCCTCATAATACCCAATTCAGGTCCCCGGTCCAAACAGGTCCGGTCCAGGTCCGGTCCGGTTTTAGACCGGTGTACACCCCTACTTGAGTTATGCAATTATGGCCGATGCTTTCAAAAAAAAAAAAAAAAAATCAAAAAATTTAAATAAGGCAAATTAATTATGAACTTACTTTAATGTTAAATTCCAAATATTCTTCTTTTCTTATTTTATATGATTGATTCCATATGAGACTATCATATAGAAATGGAGGGAGTACTTTGTATAAGTATTGTTCTTAATATTTCCGCAACGTATTAGAAATGATTAAATGCAAGTGGTACCCCATTCTAAAAGAAATAAGTCATATTAAAGGAAACAATTAATTTTATTATTTTTACTTTAATTATAATTTTGGGACATTTACTTTAAATAATCTTACTTTTTTTTTTTGAAAGAAAATAATCTTACTCTTTTAATTATTCTGCAATAATCTCAATTTTGGGGGCGTTTTCTTCTAACGGATCATGACTGATCAACAAAAATCAACAAACCTATAATAACAGGTTACTTGGCATGTGTCAAGCTCTAATTGGTCTAAAAAATAATGATAATAAATTAAACAAAGGGTGGTGGGGAAGGAAAAAGAGGGAGGACGTTTCAGGGGCGGGGAGGTTTGCTCCAAGGGAATTTGGGGTGGGGGAAAGGTGAGAGGGGGTTTTGAGTGGGGGTTGTGGTTTCCGACAATGAAGGGGAGGGGGTTGGACATTCCAGTAGGGGGAAAGGGAGGGGCTGTGGTTTTTCAGTGGAGGAAGGGGGTTTTGGTTATGTTTTATTTTTAAATATTTGACCAATTAATATTGCAAAACGTGGCATTTAACAAAAAAAAAAAGTACTCCCTCGCTAAGTTTTAGGAGAGTTATATAATATTTTGACTGTGTGAATAATTTATTATAATAAAAATAAGATGGAAACCATGGAAGAGATCGTATGTGAGAAAAAGAAATAATAAAATAATTTAAGTGAGATTTAGAGTAAGAGAAATGAAAAAATATAGTATATAGTTACCAAATATAGAAGCGATGCATTTAAAAAAAACACCCATAAATGGAAAGTGATGAATTTAATAAAAAAAAAAAAAAAAAAAAAAAAAAAAAAAAACCCGGAGGGAGTAACCTTTAAATTAGGTCAGTGGTCATTTGACATGTTAAAAAAAAATGCCCCCCGAAGTTGGAATTATTCCAGAATAATTGAAAATTGAGATTATTTAAAGAATTAAAGTAAATGACCTAAAATTTGGGTTATTAAAACCAATTTTTCCTATTAAAGATTAAGAATGTAATACATATATTACATGGAATGGATACAGCTACACTTGCTGATAAAAGATGTTACAATGATTAATGACTTACAATTACATATACTGATTTAAGTTATGACCGAAAGAGACAATCTCGAAGGCGCTAAATGGTCAGTATTAGCTAATCTAAAGCTATGAATCATCACTGGAATGTTGTATGGGAATACACTACAAAGATGATGTTCTCGAATATCATGTCATCTTGCTGAGTTCAAGTCAACTGACTCAGTTACCCGAGATCTTCGCCTGCGCTTCCCATCAGGAGTGCACCCCAGCCCACCCTTCTCCAGCTTCAAAGAATATTTACAATTTGGTTGCGCTAAAATAGATCTTGATTTAGATCTGGAAGATGGTGAGCTAATAGTTGAGGGATGTCTGCTCAAGCGGTCAATTTTATCTTTGTTGCATCCACGTTTGATGGGAGATTTTTGCCTCTTCTTAGACATCTGAAATTGCATTTTCTTCGGCCCCTTGGCATGGCTAAGAAGTCTGACATGAAATGGATTCACAGCTGTGTAACAAAACGAATCATTTGTTGAAGTGCTCCTATCTAGGTCAACTTTTCTGTCATTTACCTACAAAATCAAGCAAACAGTCATTCAACCCAAAATGACACTACAAAGAGTATAAACAGTATAATAAAAGCAGGAAAAACAGCAAACACTACTCAAAATCTAACCAGTTGTAGAAGCGCAGAAAAAGTCCGTGCAATATCATGTTTCTTTTGTCCCTTCACCACATCTGTGAAGGACACAACACTTTCATCTTCACTTTGAGATATTCTGTCCAACACTGCTTCACCATATTCATGTATGTCAAATGGTTGGCGTGAGTCCTGAAACAAAAAGGATAACCTTAGAACTGAAAGAAACAGCAGCAATTGACTGAAATTTAGTTGTAATATATGGTTGAAAAGGGCATACTTCCTCTTCTAAGTCATGTTCTGTTCTTTGCTTCCATGATGAAACCCGAGCAGCCAACTCAGTCTGCGTCTCATTTTCAGCTATGCTAGCAAGAAGTGAATCCTGGGAAAAAAAATAATAATAAGGATGTTTCTCATAGGCAATAGATCAGGAAGAAAAAACACAAATCTACAGAAAAATTATGTGTGTTCAGAGCTACTTGGTTTCTATAATTTTGTGTGTGAAACAGTGGATGATACAGAGTTCTCCAAAAGCAAAAGTTTGAGGCTGAGAATTGTGTGCAAAAACATGCTTTTTCATGTCATACATACTAAGCTTAAAGAGTGAGAATATAAATCCCCCCACCCCACCCCCCGCAGCAAGTCTGCTAATAATGGACCTTTGATCTCTAGCTCATGAAGACTTAACACCGAATCAATTCTCTTAGCACTTGACTTATGGAGCCAAATTTTCACCAATTATTAACTACTTTAAACTTTGTTTGGATAGAAGGAAATGGAAGAAAAGAAGAGAAGAGAAAGGGAGGAGGACAATTTCTCTTGTTTGGGTAAAGGATGGGGGGAAGGAAGGGGAAAGAGAGGGAGGGATCCATTTTCCCTCTTTAATAAGCAAAATCCCTCCAGAATTAGAGAGAATTGGAGGAAAAATGGAGCTCACCATTTCCTTCCCTTTCTCTTCCCCTCCCCTTCCTCCTTTTTCCCTCTTCTTTTCCTTCATTCTTTGCTATCCAAACAAAGAGTTACTTTGGTTGTCCCCAACACACAATTCCTACAACCTCAGCAAGGCCAGAAAGGCCCACAAATGATTCATAACCTACAGCTGCTTGTTAAACTAACTGAAAATCACACACCATACTGAATTAGTCTTGAGTCACAAAAGCAACTAAGCCTAACAGATGTGGGGGTACACACCAGCCCCAAATCTCAAGGGGAAGGACGGGTGGACATGTCCATGCTAGGGCCAGAATTTTGCGGAAATGACTGTTCCCATGACTGGCAAGAAAAATGGCAAGTAGATCAAGCAGAAGGTATGGCCAGCACATTTATCCTAAATTAATTACTGATTGCATTATTACTTATGCTAATTTCTTAGAACATCAATTTTCCAAGTTGTTTATAAGCACATTCCAATATGCAACTTTGACCATTGATATCTTTAATTACGTAATTATGAAAATAATAATTAAAAAAAAAAAAAGTTGTATAGAATTTTAATATATTGAGGCAAATCTAACGATATCCAACATAACGATTTTTTTCATTCTGTATAAACAACAAATGATGGTCAAAGTCAAAGTAGAACAACTATAAAAACAAAGTATACCTTTTCCTATTAGATTATTAGGTCATAAACTTAATAACCAATCTAAAAGGTTTCACTTAGAACATCAGCTTGCACAAATTAAACTCACTTGGCATGTATGTCATGTTTGTTCTAACACCAAACAAGGGCATAAGGCAAGAAGCTACTTGGATGTGCCTGAACAAGGCCCAAGCACGAAGGCAGAGGAATAGGCTTGGCCAGCAGGGCCTTGCACACCCCACTGTCATACACTCATACCTATTAAGCCCACAAATGAGAAACAAAATCAACGAATACCTCAAGAATTAAAGCCATTAAGCTTAGTGAAGCTTTAATTTAGTGCTTGGTCTGTATCAACTATCCACGATATAAACTATGGCTCATGATTTCTAATACTCCCTATGTTCCTTATCATTAGTTGCGTTTTAATTTTTAGCACTATTCATAAAATGACATAATCTTTTTATTTCTTTCCAATAGATAAAACATAATATAGTCATGTGGGGTCTTGTTTGATTCGTCTCAACGAGTACTTTATTAATATTCAATCGTCATAATTTTTACAAGTATGCATTGAAAGATATTAATGGTCAAACAAGTGCATTGGCAAATGTGTTAAGTCAAAACGTAACCAATAAAAAGGAACAAAGGGGGTAAATTTTTCAGATTAACGCATTTTAGGTTTGCAATGAATAGTCCAATTTGGTCTGGAGGCATTTTTTATTCTTTGCATACAAGTTTGATTTCTTTGAGAAAGTAGTAATGCAGTATTGTTACACATTTGCAAATGCATAACAAATACTAAAATATTGGAAAGCACATGGAAGAGAGAGAAAGAAGTAAAGAGTTAGTGAGTGGGATCACTTTTTAATTGTACCACTGAAAGCTTATATAATACCATTGGTTATTTAATAATACTAAATCTGTACGTAGTTAGTACCACTGAATGCATATATAGTACCACTACATACCTACATAGTACCACTGAATATTCAATGGTACTATTTGATAGCCCGATGGTACTATTTGATCATCCAATGATACTACTCTAAATTCAGGAATGCATTTACGTGTAATTACACCCTTGCCCCTCGTTATGCAATTGTTTGTGCATAACAATCCTCCCTTTGAAAGCTCTCCTTTCAGAATACAAATGTGAGGCAATAAGTGTTCCTATTGCTTGTGTTAAACAATTAGCATTAAAATCACTTGCCCCAACCTTTGCTACCTTCTTCAATCTAAAATGGGCTCCCTTTCATAGTTTCATGTGCATTTTTCAACTCCTTCCTTATTTTGCTACCATAACAGTCGAAAAGCAATCAATGTATTAACTTAATTAACTTGGTCATCTTGCAAGATGAGAGTGTATGGAACACGAGTACACAGTGAAATTAAAGATATATACTCCCCCTCCCCCCCCCCCCCCCCCCCCCCCCCCCCCCCCCCCCCCCCCCCCCCCACCCTCTCTCTCACAAGTCTCTTTCATCATACTACAATCTTATTTCATTCACTGACACCCTTTTCTTTCAACAAAGGCATTGTTTCAATGAAATGACAAAGGTTACTGATCCCACTTTCACTAGGTCCAAAATTCCCTGAATGTATAGAACCTTGATTCAGATGTTAAAAACTAATCAAGATATCCTAAAGACTTGTAGCAGTACAAATACTACATAGATAGTTTAAGGTGCAAAAACAAATACAGCCCCACAAATTGATAAGTCGCCTTGAAAAGGCGCGGTCTTACCAGATGAGCGCGACATAGATCTTCCAAGCTAGGTTGAGAAGTTGGATCCTCATTTACATCAGCATTGGCAGCATCATAGTGATCAGCAAAATCATCATGCTGCATCCATGAATAAGCTAATAAGAAGATGAAATCGTATATAGTTTCACAAGCAGGATATCAAAGGTTGCAACCCTCCAAGTTTCTTCCTCTCCTTATATAACATCAACAATAATAAGAGATTACAGGAAGGACAAGCTTTCCTGACCTTATCTGTGTTAAAATCAACTCCTTCATCCATATAATTGACATCTGGCATGTCAAAATCATTTTGATCAAAATCAGGGATCCCATCATCCGAAATATCTTCTGCTTCACCATTCTCAGGAGTGTAAAATGTATCAGGATTCAAATGCCCTCCAACAAGTGTTTGGCGCAGCTGCATTTGAATTTAAGAAGTCATGCAAGCCCAAACATGCAAAATAAATTTCCAGACACTACAGATAAAACATACCTTTTCAAACAATGGAACTGGTTGTGATTCTTCTTGATTTTTACAAGTACGAAAGTGCAACTCCCATATTTCTGTGAGCTCGGGACTAACTGTTCCATGCAGCTTTGCTAGGGGAAACTGATAAGCTACACTGACATTCTTCCTCATCCTTGTCTTCTTGAGAGTTTTAACTGTCAGATATTCAGCAAATTTTAGATTAAAAAAAAAAATATATATATATATATACAAGAACACTATCATAAGAACATATTGTCAAGCATTATAAGAACCTTTTCTGAATGGCTTCACTTTTAAGTTTCCAGGTTCATGGGGATTCAAAGGCTTCCAAGGATCATCATCATCACCATCAGAGTCATCAAAATCATCGTGATGTGGGTTATTATCATCTGATTCAAATCCATATTCACCATGATCAGAAATACCATTATTAGAAGGACCATGCTCAAAATCTTCGTTTAAATTTCTGCTGGTCTCGCCAAGAGGCAAAGCCTGACCAAAATTATCCAACCCTTTCTTGGAAGAAGACTTGCGGGCTGTCCCTCCAGTGTATCTGGCAGGAGACAGGAAACTTTTATGAGCTTTTGAGATCAATGAGCTCTCTCTGTGGCTACTATGCTGTCTTTCACCAGTTTTATCATCCTTCAGAAACTTATCTACTGCCACTGCATCACATGGGTCTAAGAGGATAAAATCACAATAGAGATTGTTGGTGGCCAACTGCAACCATATATGAACAAGAGTTATTAGTGTAAAATCAAAGTATATTATCCTCTATGATATTATAAAAGACAAAATGTTACCAGGTATGATTCCAGTTCACCATCATCAGTAGAATCTAAACAATCACCTTCAAGTACAACTAAGTTAGCAGGTGGCTTTACAAAGTGGTCCAAAGAGGTGTTTTTGCTGGTCACATTATCCAGGCAATTTTTCGCATCCACTGCCATAGAATCAGGGTTAAGACAACAACAAAAGTTACAAACCTGACAAAAAACAAAGAATAGGTAGCAGAAACTGTCTGAATACCAGGAATATCATCTGAGACCCAAAACTGATCTTCCTCGTCATGAACTGCATGGGATGAACTTGCTTCAGGCTGATCTGAGGTGCTTCCCACATTTTCTTGTGATCTATATATGTATAGAAAGTCGTTAGCACCCTTTAAAATTTTTTACTCACCCGATAGGCTATCTCAACCTTTAAAAACCGAAGAAAATTAGAAAAAAGAAAATATAAAATAATTCTTCCTTTACATTTTTTAGTTGCTCCATTTTAATTTTGCACATCTACCAATGCATTAACTTTGACCCTTAATGTCGTTAATTGTCTATTAGTTAAACTTATAAAAAGATGATATCTTGAAACTATAAGTTAGGACAAATCTAATAATATCTTATATGACTATGATTTTATCTATTTATTAATAACCTCGTCAAAGTGAAGTACTTGGTATGTGGATAGTATTAAAAGCCAATATGGTACAACTATATAAACAAAGGAAGTAACCATAAAGTCCATGAAATATCCAGGGTAAATCTAAGGCAAAACTTGGCCAAGGCCACCTAGACTAGGCCATTGAGTTTCATCATGGATTCAAAGTTATCCAAGCTTCTACTTACATTTTATTACAAGTGAAATAATCTTGATAATATGCAAGTTTTCAACATTTTACTAAAAAATTGTACTCAAAATATAAGGTAGGCTCCAGTCTCCTTAACTTAATAAAATACTTTTCATCAAAATTAAGTGAAGCTTAGTAACCAAAATATAGAAGTAAAAAAAGGAGAAAAATTTGACAATAACAACAAAATTCAGCCAAAAGAAACATTGAGCAGAACAAAGCCTAATCATATATGGTTGGTGTTTTGCACGTTTCCAAGGATTTACTACTATTGTAATTCCAAAACAGTGCATGCGCCCTTTTTGAGCTGTACATATCAAGTTACTCATGGATCTCATCACCTAAAATCTAATATGAACAATGAACTCTTCTTTCTTCCAATGGTGTTGCATCTTAGACCAAAAATCTTCAACTAGCTTACAGTTGTTTGCACTAGCAAACATTTAAGTTTTAAGCAGTCATTTGTTTACTAATATATACTCATCTTTAAAACTTTAATGGCTATCTTTTCATAGTGAAACTCCTTGAAAACATAGGAAAATTAATTTTTATTCATGAGACAAAATCTTTGAAATTTCGGTAAAGTAAAATTAGCTACAGCATTACACTATCATTTTCAAATTTACAAATAACATGGAAGACTTGTGAACATGTGCAAACAAACAGATTCCAAAGGAATATGAATGAATTCAAAAAAGGAGCACGGTCACGTATGAAAGGATACCCTCTAATCACACATAGCATAACAGTTTAAACAACCCCAATAATACAATATGAAATAACAAATTCCATTCACGCAGGTGTTCTATATAACCCTTGAAATTTATTCAAGCTTCACCCGATTTCACAAATAAAATGGCATGAACGAATCTCAAAACATCAAGCCTAAGCTTTCAAGAGACATAATATTAGTCCTACATCCTTGCATCAAGCACATTGATATAGTTCAAATTGTCAACTATGCATATGAGGTGATATACTTTCAAAAGACTAAACACATACAAAGGGGTATTTTAAACCAATGCAAAACTCATCTTGACATCTTCATAGTAAGGTAGCATTGCACCTAGCAGTGGGAATTGTGAATTACCAAACTATAAACATGATCTCATAGTATGACCAATTAAACAAACGAGAAGAAAAATTGTTGAATAGGATGTTGTAATCATAAAAGAAGACGTAGTAAGAAAGATTTAAAGATGCCAATAAGGAAAATAATTCAAGACAATCACTTCAAATTAGATGATATTTAGGATTTTTTGTCAAAAATTACCTAATACAACTTAGATTTTGCAAGAAACTACCTAATAAAAAATGTTGTAAGAAACCACCTATTAAAATAAAAATGTTGTAAAAGACTATTGTTCACCGGACTTCCACAATTGACTAATTTCACCGACCACCCACGAGCCGGTCATGTGACCTGTTGAAAGCTTATTTTCCTTTTTATTTTCCATGCCCCACCAGCAATGCCACCTTCATCACCACCGCACCATTTTGACCCACCACCACAACACCCCAACCCACCTCAAAACACCCCCAAATCCACGCTCACGTATCCCTAAAACTAACACAAGCCCTCCTTCACGTTTCCTTGTCGCACTTTCACACACCATCACCGCACCACCACACTCCGTCTCTACCTCCTGGCGCCACTAACAATAACACCAGCGCACACCCTTCCTCATCATACCTCGCTGCCCATATCTCTTGCCTCACCTCAATACCCAGCCACCAACACACCAACAAATAGCAGCCACATCAATATCACAAGGAGCCATCATTCCGTGCTCCCCCATCAAGCCGCAAGCAGCAGCCACACCAACCATCATTCCAATCACGCTACACCAACAACAATAGCGCAACAACCCACGACATTAATTGTAGCAATTTCAGCCCACAAAATTTGCCTAATTAAGAAATGCAAGTTGCATATTGTCAAATGGAAGCAGGGGAAGGGAAAAATGATGCAAGGGAAGCAAAGGAAGGAGAAATTGAGGGATATAAGGATGAAATTGGGATGTTGGGCACCGAATTGGGGAAAAAAAAGGTGAGAATTTGGTTAATTTAAAATCATGTGGGTGGTAAATGCCTAAGAAATTAGTCAATGATGGAAATCCGACGAAGGGTAGTCTTTTACAATATTTTTATTTTAATAGGTAGTTACTACCACATTTTCTTTATTAGGTAGTTTCTCACAAAATTTGAGTTGTAACAAGTACTTTTTGACAAAAAAATCCTAATATTCAACATATAAGATCTTAATAAAACTCTTTTGAACTCTTTTGGCTCCTATTAACAATAATGAGTTCGAAATATAAGTTTATCTTATCTTAGAATCCGTCTAAGAACTACGAAATCAAGATTCATTCAAATTAATCATTCTAACTAACCGTTTTTACATAGATAATAAGTTAAAAGGCAATAGGAACTAGAATGAATAGTGGAATAGCAATAAATGCAAGAATATTTACTTCCATAATCTTATCGTTTTTCTACGTACCATTAACTCGGGATTTAATCTCATAAGAGATGATCCAAATTTTATTTGTTGATGATATTGAATCAGATTAATATCAGAAAAATAAAAATATCTGAGATATCAAATCAATTTGCCGTCACGATTCACGAATTGAATAGTATACCATAGGAAGCTCTTTTAGCCATACTGAATCCAATAGAAAAATGGAATTTGTTATCTAATCAAGAATCCCCTTAAGTTCAAGTTATTGTTCTTCTTTACTCTTTTTTCCAAAACCTAGCGTCTTTTTTCTACATTTTTATTTTAATAGGTAGTTTTTTACGACATTTTTATTTTAATAGGTAGTTTCTTACAACATTTTCTTAATTAGGTAATTTCTCACAAAATTTGAGTTGTATTAGGTAGTTTTTAACAAAAAAATCCTAATATTTAACATATAAGATCTTAATAAAACTCTTTTGGCTCCAATTAACAGTAACAAGTTCAACATATAAGTTTCTCTTGTCTAAAACTTCTCAATTTCTCATCTCAAAACTAGGCAAATTGCAAACAATAGAGCAATGTGTTTTATATGCCAATTTCCATTATTCAGCCACAATATCGCCATTCAAGACATTTCAATTTTATTTAAAGAAAACCACTTTTCTAGTAATTTTAACACACCATTAATAAGTATTAGAAAGTCCAACAGTAAAACACTAATTTAAAGTCACAACCATATTAATACTCCCTAAGTTTGGAATTAAGTGTAACGTTGTTCCAACCCCACATAATTAGGGTTGTATTGTGATTTCATTAAAGTATTCACACATAACTTGTGTCCTCTTCCCATCCTCTCTCCAGCACTTCATATATACAGATTATGTTTGGGAATTAAACCAAAATCTGTCAAATATTATCAAACTTGACAAATTTTCTGGCATCTTAAAACAGCATACATGAATTTTATGTCCAGACAGAGGGAGTATTTCTCTCTTCCTTCCATCTGCTTATCACCATTGGTGATGGCAACTGATGCCTTCGCGGTATTCAGGGTGTGGTGCAGAGTTGAGCAACCAAAAAAAAAACATCCCAAGTTGCAACATACTCCATAACATTACCAGGTTACCGGTATAAAATAAAAAAAAAAAAAATCTTCGGGCCACAGTTTATACGAAAATAAGCAGACGAGCAAGTTGTATGAAAATCAAACAAAAGAATAAGACGGGTGCATCCAAAAACAAACCTTGTTTGAGAAACAAACTCCAAAGCATGCAATACCAAGTTGTAAAGGTACTCAACTTTACGACTATACACTTGTATCGAACCTTGAAGCAACAAAGCAGCTACAATTTACCCACAAAAAAGTAACAAAATTGTTAATTCAAAACACAAAGAAAAATCAAACCCCATTAAATTCTTCAAAAAGCAAAAAACTTAGCAAAAATCAACTCAAACCTTCAGCAAAATTAACGGAGAAATGGGCATCATCTCCTCCAGATATTTCACCAGAACAAATCTTCAAAAGATAATCTTCAAGGTTTTTTGCAAGATCGACGGCCCAATTAGATTCAAGGTCTCTATGCGCTTGAACAGTATGAATGACATTGAAATTTCCAGCACTTCCACTATTCGGGTCTTGACTCTCGCTTTCCATAATTCGTCTAATAGAATCGCATTCTCCATTATTGTGAAAACATGACTGAAGTTTCTACTGAAACCCTAATAAAAGATTTGAATTTGGGGGAAATTGAGATGGAAAAAAACCCTAAAATTGAATTAGGGTTTGGTACTTTTGTCGCGATTCGTTGTAGTTCTATTGAATTGAATGTGGGTAATGGAAGAAAGTGAAGGAAAATTGAAATTGAGATAAGAAATTTGGGGATTTTGGTTGTTCTTGGAAGATGGACGATTGGAGCTGTGTGGGGGAGTTGGATAGGATAGAGAAAGGCGTTCAAAATTTTAGATGACCGTTTTTCCCGCCTGCTCATGAAAAGTCGATATATAAGTAGCAAATTTGTTAAAAAAAAAAATATTGAATTTGTTTACTCTATAAAATTTGGATCTTTAAATTTTGGATCCGGTAAATTAAGATTAGATCCCTCCAATCCATTGCGGTAGTTCTTACCATTTAAAATCAAGAAGTAAGGGGCCGTTTGGTTCGCTGTAATAGGGAAAGGGAATGGGAATGATTCCCTTTGTAAGCGTTTGTTTTGCTACTTTTGTCATTCCCTTTCTCCTTTTTTATTTTTGGGTTTACCATTTTTAGTGAATCGCTAAACATCGCCCGCAAATCTCCACATAAAGCCCACAAATATGTATTGAAGTGACTTTATTGCCCTTTTCTTTTTTAAAAAAAACACTCTACATCTCTCTAAAAAAAAATCAGAAAATCTACCTCTCTAAAAAAAATTAATTACGACAATGTCGAGGCGGCAAGGGAAAGAAGTGGCGACGGCGGCGGCGGAGGAAAGGCGGCGACCTGGTGGCAAGGTAATTATTTAAATAATTTTTTTTTTTAAAAAAAAAGGGCGAAGGTGGCGCGCCAGCTCCGGCAGCCAACGCCGGTGGCGTGGCGTCTGGCTTGGAAGCCCAGCCACCGGAGAGGCGTCCAAACCAGACGCCAGGCCATAGGCTGTGGCGGCCAGAGCTGGCACCTGTGCCTATGGGTGAGCGTCCAGTTCAGGCGCCTGCCCACTGGCTATGGCTGCCGGATCTGGCGCCACCGCCAGTGGGTAGGCGTCCTGGCCAGGCGCCCCACCTGCCTTAATTTTTTTTTTTTTTGTTTTTGGAAAATCAGAAATTTAGTTTTATGTCTAATTTTTTTTTGTTAATGTGTTTGATTTTTTTTTTAAAATATTTATTAACTGTATGTGTTTTTTTTTTATAAATCTAGTATATATATTTTTTATAAAATCAGATTTATTTTTTGTGTTAATGTTTAATTTTTTTATGTTTGATGTTTAAACATTTTTTTATGCCTTAATTGATGTAGTATGTGAAAATTGTTTGTGTTAATGTGTAATTGTTTTTTTTTTTAAATGTGTAATACAATTAGGGTATTATGTGTGTATTAGTGTATGTGTAATATATTTGTTTTTTATTTTTTATGTTTAATTATTTGAAATAATTTTTTTTTTTGGAAATCAGAAATTTTGTAATACATTAGGGTATTATGTGTGTATTTGTGTATGCATTAGGGTATTATGTGTGTATTTGTGTATGCGTATAATATTTTTCTTAAGCGCCCCCATTACTCACTGTGAGAAACGTTTTTGTTTCTCACAGTGGCAGTTTCGTACATAAAATGTACCATTTTAGTCACGGTGGTACATTTTATTTACGAAATGGATGATAAAATTGTACCACTTTAGTCACGGTGGTACATTGTATTTACGAAACTGCCACTATGAGAAACAAAAACATTTCTCACAGTGAGTAACAGAGATTTACTGCTTAAATGTTTAATTATTTGAAATAATTTGAAATTTTTGTTTTGTGTCCTATTTATTTATTATGTGTTTGATTTTTTATAATTTTTATTAATTTTATGTTTATAAACATGACGATATGTTGGAAGTGTTGGTATTTTGTATGTGTATGTAGTTATTTATTTTTCTAAAAAACTTTTGTATGTTTATATATTTTTTAATTTTTTGTAGAATTCACTGGGTCGACATGGTGCGGGGAAGAATGTAGAGCTTCTTAGTAGAAGCTATTTAGTGGAGAGGTCGGGGCATAGACATGTTAGATCCCGTGGTATTTCGGCCTCGGCTTGTAGAGAACAGATCCACCGTCGGGATGAGGATGACGATGACGATGATGATACTAAGTAGGGTGACTAGGAGGAGCAGGAGGAGGAGCAGGAGGAGGACGCATATGAGGATGAGGATGTGGACGATGGGAGTGGACCGTATGATGATTACGGTCCATTCAGTCAGAGGGTTGATGACATGTACGAGACACATATGGTAGAGGTGCGTAAGGGTAGGGGTGGTAGGTTTGTTAGTAGATCTGGCACATCATCTGCGTCCACTGTGTCTGGGGCAAGCAGGAAACGGTCGAGGGCCGTTAATGATTCTTGGGTTGTTAGGAGTGAGGTGCCCGGTGGGCCTGTAGACGGGAGTGTGATTCCTAGCTTTCTAGGACACATAGCTACTCGTATTTGGGAGGACCAGGAGAGGCCTTCAGTTACGGGCTTGTTGAAATGTCATACCTGGGAAAAGACTTGTAACTTTTTGCGTACATGGGCTGAGGCTTGGCCGGCGGAGAGTGAGATGTTCGAGCGATTGGAGGGCACTGGGGTGAATCACGTTCCTGCCACCATGCACGATAAGATTGACACTACGCTGATCACGGCTTTCGTTGAGCGATGGCAGCCGGATACAAACTCTTTCCACCTTCCGTTCGGTGAGATGACGATCATGTTACATGACGTCGAGGCCATTCTGGGGATTCGTGTTGAGGGTAAACGACTTTGTGCTGTGACTGATGCGGATCAGGCAGATTTGCTGGCGGAGTTGTTGGCTGTGGACAGGGCTGCACTGTACACCGAGGCGCTTGGTGTTTGGGAACACGGCGGTGTGAAGATCGCATCCGTGTTGCAGCGGTGTTTGTACCCCAGTGCACGTAGGACGCACGACGCACAGCTGGCTGCTTATGTTTTTCTACTCCTCGGATGTACCTTGTTTCCGGATAAGAGCGGCGGAAACAAGCTCAGGCCACGCGACATAGTTGAGGCGTGTGACCCCGACAGTGTAGGCCAGTTTTCTTGGGGATCGGCTACGTTGGCGTATTTGTATCGCCAACTAGGATTTGCGAGTCGGGCTGACGCGACAGGTATCACTAGGTGTCTGACTTTATTGCAGACCTGGATATACGAGTACTTTCCTGCATTGCGACCACATCGTGACCCGGTTCCTATTGATGAGGGGATGCCGCGTGCTTGTGCGTGGAGTCCGCGCTTGGAGAAGAAGTCCGTTGACCGCCTCCGATCGATACGGTTATTGCTTGACAAGCTGTCCCCCTTAGAGGTAACGTTTATAAATTATTTGTACAATTTATTATATGCACTTATTATATTCATGTTACTAAATTTTAAAACTATGTGCAGGTGAACTGGATGCCTTTCGGCCCGAACCCTAGTGTTAGGGTACCCAGGACCCTGTACACGGGACTCATTCAGTATCGTGAGATCGTGGAGGCGTACATGCCCTAGCGTTGTCTTCGCCAGCTTGGATTTGTCCAAGTTGTCCCTCCTCCCCCGGCATGCCCGATGAAGGTGGTCCGATCTGCATCGTCGAGGGACTACGTCGTGCATTGGTCGGATATCATGACTGGGACGTGGGACCAGTTTTCAATGGTGGCCCGCTTATGGACTGCGGAGTTGCAGAGGCCGCCATCTGGGGTTCCTCCCATGTGTGACCACTACTACATGGAATAGTTCAACCGGTATTCGCACCCGAGGTTGATCGTAGATCTCGACCACAACGATGATGATTATATGCCACCGCCTACTGCCATGGAAGCGGTATGTCTCATAAAATATTTATCGTTGTTTTTTAATTAAGTTTTATATGTTGTTATTGTATTTCATGTTTTATTTTTTGTTGTATGTAGTGGATGGGAAAGATAATGCAAGACGTACAGAAACTCTCTCTGGAGAAGGACAACATGAGTGCAACAGTGAGAGTTGTTGTTGATAGTTTGGAACAGACCCTTGCGCATTGGGAGTCGGCGTGGAAGAGAGATTACTGATGGTTTTGACATTTTATTTTTAGAGCACTTTAAATATTATCGTTTTAGTTTTTTAAATTGGACATTATGTTTTAAGTTTGTAACATTTTAAATTGTTGTTTTAGCTTTCAACTTTGACATATTATCATTGTTGTTTTTAAATTTTGACATAACCTTTCGTGGATCCGCGCAACTTACCCATGCAACATATAAATTTAGTAAGCAATACAATATAAAAAATTAATGTTCTCATTAAAATAGCAACGTACAAATAAGGTTACATAGAAATAATGTAAACATGAAAAACTAAAATGCAGCTAGGGTGTTCCATTCGTGGATCCGGTCATGATATAGCGCATCCCAACCCTCTACGCTCGCTATGCGAATGGTGTACCACCGAGGTATAATCAGTGGCACAGGAAAATAGGATGACATGTCTAGTCAGATGAAATGTCTGTATGACGACCCAAGAAACGCAATAGCTACCTCTCTGACCGGTGTAGTGACAGTCTCACGCGAACGCCAAGGGAGAACCGTGGTACAAGGATAATAAGCTTGACTATGCAATCCCAGCCCGAAATGCATGACTGTGCACTTGTAAATGTTTGCAACGGCAAACAGATCTAGGGGCGCGTCAAAATAATGATTTTGACCGCAAGGTCCACCTCCCCACCGGATACGCCGCAGAGCGCCATCCAAGTCATCCTGGTACACATGACGATAAACATTTCGGTTAGAGGCAATTTCGCTGTACATCAACTGACGCACCAAACCGTAGTTGTCTTCGCCCATTTGAAAAACATCAGCCACGACCCGGGATCCGCAGTTACCATCTCCGACTACGTCATTCCACCCTTCCAAGTACGGCATGATGATGTTAGGTATCCTGTCCTTGTACGGAAACTGATCAACATCGTTTCTTCCTATTCACCATATAATTAAACACAGTTTAGAAGGCAGAAGTAACATTTTAAAACTATGTGCAATGTAAAAAAACCAAAACGTACCAGTTCTCAGGGGCATATTCACAGACGATTAAGAATGCTACGACTAGATGACAATGTCTGACCACGACCACGACCACGACCAAGACCACGAATGTACTCAAACGCACTCCTGTTCCGCCGTTGGCGACCTCGAGGACGGTCAACTCCTTCGGGTTCCTCAAAATCTAAGGTAGACGTGTGGAACATGTCATGAAGTACATGAGTAGCATCACGAATAATAGAAGGATGACTGGAGGACACTCGGTCGTACATCGAACGAAACTGCTCCAACTCCTCCTGTTCACGGTCGACCGTATGAGTATCTACATGCTCACCAATAACGAGCGTCCGCCAGAATGAATGAACCTGATCAACATGTAACGACGCCCTTTCTTCTGTAATAACGCGGTGAATGGTGCATGCACAAGGTAATCCATGAGTTACTGAAATAGCACACCCGCACCGAGCATACACTTCATTAGCCAAGTCCCTCATCCTGTTCAGCTCAATCAGAATC